GGAGTCGTGACGGGCCCTCCTGGGAGGTGAGGAGTCTGGGGAGTTGTGATGAGCCCTCCTGGGTAGGGATAGGTCTTGCTTTTGTTCTAAACACAAAGCATAAAGTCAGCACTACACAGATTGCTGGGCTCCAAAACACTAGCTAGATCTCCACAGAAGCAGTTATCTCAAAATTGTCCAGAAAATCTGAAGTATCAATATAATTGTATTGCTCAAGGATAGTGAACTAACACCCAGGATGGCAAAAGTAAGCTGAAAATGTTCTCAAGGACAATAAGAAAATCTCTGCATACAAAGAGCACTAAGTCAGGAGCTCATTTTGAGGTTTGGTCCAGATAACCCTTAGCCCCCTTTTGGGGGGGGAATTGAACTAATAAGACTGGGTCAAATCTACAGTTTCACAGGAGAAAAAGGCTGGTTAACTACTCAGCTCACATCATGTCTTCTCTTCAGTCAAGAAAAGCCCTGGCAGAGGGAGGAGTTTGAGATTGTCCAACTTGCAGAGGCGTGGCCTGAGCTAGGTAGGATGGACTGGGTACAGTAGGACAGCTAAGGTGTTTCAATGGCTCTGCTCAGCAACTCCTCTTCTTTTTACCATCCACTGAGTTATGCTATAGTTAATACACAATATACATTGCACAGCCCTTTACTCTAGTGAATAAATTCATTTTAGACACCGCCTATCAGAAACCTCAGAACAGATATCCAAGATACCAAGTGAAACCTAGAAGCAGCTGCACTTGGGCTTCCCAGAACAGCACACAGAAGCAAACTGTTCACCATTTCTCCTCTACCCCAACCCCTACCCAGAAGAATGAGGCTGCCTCTCACACAGTCTAGACCTTTAGATCTGTCCTGTGACTTGGCACACACCTCCTAAGCGCTTCCACTTGTTACTGGTCCGGAATGCCTCCATTTGCTTCACTTCTTCTGGGCGTTCATCAATGAATTCAGCCACCTAGAAAAATTATCGTAGGCTTGAATAGCCTGGAAGATCCCACTACAGAGCCAAAAGTAACACAGAAAGATTAAAGCAAGGAACATCTATCCCCACCCCTAATATACACAGTTGTGAGAAAGCCTTCCCTCTTCAGGATTTACTGTTCCCTCTGGTTCCATAAAAAACTTGTCATTGCCCCAGTTTAATTACAAACCCTCCACTGCCTAATGAAGTACCAAAAAAATAAAAAAGGCAATTTGTTCCATCACAAGTCTTTTTTAACAACCTGTCAAGTTCCACATCATCTATTTCTGAGCTAAAAGAAGAATATATTTTGGTCTTTTCTACCCAGCATGATGGCCCACAAGGCTCTCTTCACTGTCACCACTGGTTAAAGCACAGGAAAGTAGACCAAACCCTGCCCAGCATATAGCCTTCATTTTAAAAAACGAACACTAAAAATTGTTTTCACACATAACTGGGAAAAATATTCATAAAAAAATTTTTTTTTAAAAAGGAAGAGAGAGGTCAGATGACCACTTTGGTTTAGATATAACGTGGACTAAGTGGCCTCCTTAGTCCCTTCCACCTCTAAGATACACACTGTGAACTGCCAAGCTCCAAGTTATCATTCAAATCCCAGATCTAGCTACATTTCAATTCAGTGCAACAGACATCTGCTAAACACCTGCTCTCAGCAAGGAACGGTGTTGGCTAGTGGATCCACCAACGTGAAATTCCTAAAAAGATCTAACCCATGTTTCTCCTCTGTTCAAGAAACTCTAGCGGCTCCTTACTGCCTCTAAGATAAAATGCAAACTCCCCTGTTTGGCACTGAAAGCCCTTTATCATCTGGCTTTGTTTATTCACATCACTCTCTCACTCACCCTATGTCCCAGCCAAACTGACTTATTCACTATCCCCATACATAGCATTACATCTCCTATCCCCATGCCTTCGCATGAGCTGTCCCTCCCACCTGGAACATACTCCCTCCTCATCTCTACCTGGTCAAATCCCTAACTTTCTTCAAGCTTTAGCTCAAGCGACACCTTCTAGAAGAGACTTATAGTGATCCTCCCAATTGTTAATGCTATTCCCACTGGAATTATTTATATTTACCCAATTGTTAATGCTATTTCCAATGGAAATTATTGATATTTATTATGTTTCTATTTTGTATCTGCTTATCTGTGTTCATGTTGCTTGTTACCCCCAAATATGCTTTCCCCTCCCTTCCCCCCTCCCCCCCCCTTTTCCCCCCCCCCCCCCCCCGCCCCCGCCACTGCCTCTGGCCCCAATCATAATACTTATGCTCCTTAAAGGCAGGGACTGTTTCCTTTATGTCTTTGTATCCCCAGCACCTAGCCTGGTACCTGGCACACAGGAGGCCTTAATAAATGTCTGCTTGCTTGATGGATGAATGAATGAATGAATGAATGAATGAATGAATGAATGAATGAATGAATGAACAGAGGCACCAAGCTATTAAGGGCAAAGGTTGTTTAGAGTTCAGTTATGCATGTTGTCCTACATTTTTCGGTGGAGAATTACAAACATGCCTCAGCCTAATACCAAATACAATTTTGGCTGGGCAAAAACACATACTTGAAAAGTGACTTCTTCTCTGTAATTGCCTCCTTATTATTAGGAAGATGATGCTCTATAAACAATGAAATGAGTATAACACAATTATTAATTACTATTTTGTTACAGTTTTAAGCAAAGTACATTCCTTCTCGGCTCCCAACTTTTTCCATTTACACACAGCACTGAGAGTAGGGTTCCACTTAATGCCTCACCTTGGGGAAGTCCATCAATTTTTCAGAACCTATGTTGTCTCATCTATAAAATGAGGTTAGACTGGATAATCTCCTTTCTAGCTCTAAATTCTATGATCTTACAACCAAATGAAAGGAATCTGCTTGAGGCAACCACAAGTTCCTAAACCCTAATTACTCCCAAACTTACCACAGGTAAATCTCCCTCATCTTCCTCTTCTTCTTTTTCTGATTTAGTAGAAATATTTGCCCAGCTCACATCATCATCCACAATTCTCATCCTAGAGAAAAAGGTAGTCAGAAAAAAGCAGTATTTTCAAGAGAAGAACCAACAACATGCTAGGAGACCCAAATAGCTGCTTAGATATAAACAGAGGCATGAGGAGACAGAGAGTATCCCCATTTAGTTTGCTCTTTCCCTACAAAGCCAACATTTCTAAACCTGAAGAATTCAGGAAAAACTGTTACTTTGAACTCAGTTCCTCCTAAATACAATACTGGTTTTTTTTTTTGGTTTGGTTTTTTTTTTTTGGCTAGGCAATGCGGTTAAGTGACTTGCCCAGGATCACACTGCTAGTGTTATGTGTCTGAGGCCAGATTTGAACTCAGTTCCTCCTGAATCCAGGGCCAGTGTTCTATCCACTGCGCCACCTAGTTGCCCGGGAACAACAGTCCCTGCTGTCAAGGAGTTGCATTCTTTTTTTTGTTGTTGTTAGGCAATGAGGTTAAGTGACTTGCCCAGGGTCACACAGCTAGTAAGTGTTGTGTGTCTGAGGCCGCATTCGAATTCAGGTCCTCCTGAATCCAGGGCTGGTGCTCTATCTACTGCGCCACCTAGCTGCCCCCTGTTACTTTGAAAGAGACTGGGAACAGGATGGAACAGAAATCCCCAACCACAACCAGTGGGCTGTCTCCTGCTTCAAAGCTCAAAAGTGTGGGTTCCCTTGTTTCTTCTTTCTTGTGGTTCCCATTGGTTCTAATCCTTCTTTACAATATGACTAATATGAAAATATGTTTAACGTGAATGTACATGTAGAACCTATATCAGGTTGCACGTTGTCTTGGGGAGGGAGGCAGAGAAAATTTAAAACTCAAAAGCTTATGCAAGTGAATGTTGAAAACTAAAAATAAATAAATAATTTGTTTTAAAAGTATGGGTTCCCCAGCCGGAAATTCTACCTCTGGGCCAAATCCTACTGCCCTGTTTTTCATTGGCTGCCTTGATACTCTTTTTCCCCCACCTCCACCTCCACCCCCACCCCCACCCTACCCCTGCCCTTGCATTTCATTCCAAATCTCAGGTTGAAGACTCCCAGTTCAATCCTCAGACTCTGAGAGGAAATGAGAGAAAAGGGATGTAACCAGGGCTCAGCGAGGAGGTACAAAGGAGAAGACAAGCACCTGAATTTGGTGGTTAAAAGAGGGGAACATAGTCAAAAGAGAGGGAACTGACATGGCCCAGAAGTCAGGTTGACTTGAATGGGGCACATGGGGTATCAGGAAGGAAAAAGACACAGAGGGGAATAAACAAGGATGGAGAATAGGAAGATTGGAGAAGGGAAGTGACAAGTGGGAAACAGGGCCATCTACATAAGGCTAGAGGCTAAGCTACTGGGGAAAAGATACAGTCAGGTGAATAGAATGAAACAGAAATAGTCATAGTCTGCAGTGACAGGCGAAAACACAGTTGTGATGGGGAGGGGACACAGCAAGAAGGGCAGTGGTGAAGAATCTTGTCTAACTTCCCAATTTCTATAGCAGGCACCACCACTCTTCCAGTCACCCCGGGCTCAAAGTGTAGGTGCCAGCTCCTCACTCTTTCTCACCACCTCCACATTCAATCTATTTCAAATCTTGTTGCTTCTACCTTTATAGTTGTTGTTGTTCCATCATTTCAGTCATGTCTGACTCCTTGTGACCCTAAGTGGGGTTTTCTTGGCAAAGATAGTGGAATGGCTTGCCATTTCCTTCTCCAGCTTATTTTACAGATGAGGAAAGCGAGGCAAACAGGGTTAAGTGACTTGCCTAGTATCACACTGCTAGTAAATGTCTGAGGCTGGATTTGAACTCAGGAAGATGAGTCTTCCTGACTTCAAGCCTAGCACTCTGTCCACCATGCCACCTAGCTGCCCTCTCTTGAAATATACCCCCTTCTTTCTGACACTGCTGCCACTCTGGTACAAGCCCTCATCTCCTCATGCCTGGATGGATGAAAAAGCCTGCTGGTGGTCTGCCGGCCACAAAACTCTTCCCAATCAAGGCCATCCTCCATTTAGTTGTCAAAGTGATCTTCCTAAAGCCCTTTGGTTTTGCCTCTGGGAACACTCCCCCCTTTCCATCTTCTTTTTGTGTACCGCCTTCCTACTTAAATGGTAAACTCCTTGAGGGCAGGGATTGTCTTTCTCATTATTTGTATCCCAGAGCTTAGTTCAATGTCTGACCACGTCCTCATACACATGTTCCCTACCCCCACCCCCTCCATAAATTCCAATGATTCCCTATCAACTCCAGGATGAAATATGAAATCCTAGGGTTTTCAAAGTCCTTCATAACTTGAACCCTTTCTCCCGTTCCTGTCTTCTTATACCTTACCCCCCTTATCGGTTTCTCTGGATGTCTCCCACGTCTGAAACCACCCTCCTCATCTCCGCCTCCTGGGCCCTGCTTTTGGGGCTCTCCTGGCTTCATTCAACTCTCAGCTTTCTGCGGGAAGACCTTCCCAATTCTAGTGCCTCCTCTCTGAGAACGCTCCCCATCGATCTTGTCTGTGTGTAGCTGCGCACACGGTGTCGTCCCTCATTAGATTTCACATTATTATTTGTGTCCCCAGCACTTAGCACAGGGCCCGGCACGTTGCAGGTTCTCATAAGTGTCACGCAGGAGGCTGCAGGAGGGGAGGGAAGGTGTGTCCCCAAGCCGGGATAGGCGGGGGAGAACACAAGTGAGGGGGAGGAGGGAGCAGACAGCGCCTGGACACGGCCGGAGCCGAGGTCTGGGGCTAAGGACGGAGGGACGGAGGGACGGAGGGAGGTGTGGGCCAGCCTCCGTTGGGAAGGGGCAGGAGCCAGGGTCTGGGTCTGAGGCGCTCAGCGCACACAGGCAAGCAAACACACACACACACACACACACACACACACACACACCACAAACACCATACCACACACCATACACACATACACACCCCCACAGACAACATACATACACCACATAACACACCGACACACACAGAGACAACATACATATACCACACACAGCACATACACACCACTCCACACATACATACAACACACCACATGACACACACACACACACTCCCCTGGCTCACCCTTTCCCTCCGGCACCAGTCGGCTTCGGCCGCTTCTTGCGGCGCTTACGACTAGCCTCGGACCCCGCATCGACGGGTGCCTCGGGCCCAGACAAGTAACGCTTTAGATACTCAGCCTTGGAGAGCGGTGGGGCAGCCGCCATGGCAGCGGAGGAAGCGGAACAGAACCGGAACCAGGGTACGGCACGGCGTAGGGGACAAATTTCCAGTAACGCAAAAACGTTCCAAGGAGGCCTTCAGGGGGTGGAGCTAGGACTCCCCGGCGGCAGAGAAAGAACCCGAAGGGTTCTCTGATTGGTCTCTGGCTATAGGCGTGGCCCAACTTCTGCACGTCATTGTTCTACGGAAGCCGACTGGTGCCACGAACAGCCTCAGCAAAGGTCCCGCGCTGTGTTTGGGGTTGGGGAAAGGAAGGGAATAGAGGTCCCAGTAATGGGTCGGGGCAGTGGGAAGAGAAGTGAGGGAGCTGACTGGAGAGATGTAAGAGAAATTAAATCGGCGGGACAGGGCCACCGATTGAGACTGGAGGAAGAAGGAAGTCTGTCCCATGCAAACCCTTAAACAACCATGGCAAAGGTGGAAGGAGCAATTTTTCTCCCCTCTATTCAGTCTTTTTTTTTAAAAAACATTCCTTTTTTTTTGTTCCAATTCTGCCCGTCCCTCCAGCTCCTCCCCTACCCATTGAGAAGACAAGCAACATCTACCCATTTTACACGTGAAGTCATGCAGAAGTGTTGCCAAAAAAAAAAAAATTAATCAAATGAAAAATGTATGCTTCAATCCACACTCAGACTTAATAAGTTCTCCCTCTCTGGAGATGGATAGCATTTTTCATCATGAGCAGAGGAGCAGATTGCAAAAGTAAGGTTAGATATGATAAGTCTGACTACCAGAGGGGCATCGGTGTTAATGTCTTGCAGAAGAGGGAATTGATTCAGATTTATATGAGTAAGAGCTATTCTACAATGGATAAATAGTCAAAGCATATGAACAGACATCCAAGCTATCAACAACCAGAAGAAAAAATCCTCTAAATCACTGATAGTTAAATTATTGCAATGACAATGTGCCAATGGCAGTTTTTGAAAAGGCCATGGGAAAGCCAGCACACTAAATGTGCCATTGGTAGAGCTGTGAATTGGTCAAAAACCCTTCTGGAAAGCAATTTGGAACTATGCCCCCAAAAGCCACTAAATTACACACATCCTTTGACCCAGCAATACCACTACTAGGCCTATACTCCAAAGAGCTAAAAGAAAAAGGGAAAGGACCTCTATTTACAAGAATGTTTATAGCAGCTCTTTTGGTTATGGCAAAGAAGTGGAAACCAGGGGGTGCCCATCAACTGAGGAATGGCTGAACAAATTATGATATAAGAATAGCATGGAATATTGTGCCATAAGAAATGACAAAAGGAATGGTTTCTGAGAAACCTGGGAAGATTTTGTGAACTGATGCAGAGTAAAGTGAGCAGAACCTGGAGAAAAAAGTACATGATATTATTAAGAAAAGCAACTTTGAAAGACTTAAGAATGCTAATTAATGCAATGACCAACCACAATTCTGGAGGGCTGATGCTCAAAGCATACCACCCATTTCCTGACAGAGATAATGAACTCAAGTTGCAGAAAAAGGGATACTTTTTTTGGACATGACTAATATGAGAACTTGTTTTAAATTGACTATGCAAATATGTTATGAGGGCTTTGTTTTTATTTTTTCAGTTTGGGGGACGGCAGAGGAGCCAGGGACAAGGTAGCCCATCAAAAAGTAAAAGAGAGTCACTAGAATTTTTAAGTGCACAGAAGAGAACAGTAGGAAAACCAGAAAAAAATCAGACAAGACAGCTTTGAAAGTTACATATTCAATTTATTTTACTTTATAAGTTATACATAAGAGATTCAGTTTCATTTACAATTCTATTTTCTATTCTATGTGTATAGAAATGCCCCCTTTATTTGGTGTTTAAATTCATAATTTTTAAAGTTAATTTTAAAAAATCAACTGCATGGATGACTATGACATAGTTGAAACCCTGAAAGCGAATGAGATTGCCAATGGAAAAAATGTGAAGATGAGAAAACAGCCACGAATAGACCTTTGGGGAACACCCATAATAAGGGGTAAAGGGCATCATAATCATTATCATAAGTAGTGTTTATACAGCACTTCAGGGTTTACAAAACTCTTTATAAATATTATTTTATCATTACACAACTGGGAGATAGGTGTTATTATTGGCATCATTCCATCATTGTCATGAGGAAACAGACTGAGAGAGATTAAGTGACTTATCCAGGGTTACACAGCTAATAAAGCATTTGAGTAGGATTTGAGCTCAGCTGCAACAGTCTAGCCACTACACCACCTAGCTCCCAAGATTAGTAGCCAGTGAAAATGACCAAGTACAGCTTAGAGATGAATGCTCTGAAACCAAGAGTAGAGCATACAGTAGAAGTGATTGGTCAACAGTATAAAAAGTAGCAAACAGGTCAAGGAAAATGAGGAATTAATCAATCAGCAAGTATTTATTAAGCCCTTACTGTATTAGGCACTGGGGATGCAAGTATAAAGAATGAAAAACAATCCCAACTCACAATGAACTTACATTTTAATGGGGAAGACAATTAAATATCAAAACATGCAACATAAATATAAAGTTAATAAGTACAAATATATACAAAATAGTTGAATGTAAGGTACTTTAGGAAGGAGGGCACTGGCAGTGAGAGCAATCAGTAAAGACTTCATTTGAAGATGTTGCCTGAACAGCATTTTAAAGGAAGACAGACTATGCAGGATGGCCAGGACAAAGGCATGCAAAATAGAGTTGGAATGTCATGTGTAAAGAACAGAGAGAAGGCCAATTTGGCTCTTTCACAAAGTTCAGGAGGGGGAGAAATGTCTAATTAGACCGGAAAGACAGGTTAGAGCCAGGAAGTGAAGGGTTTTAAAGGCTAAACAGAGGAGTTAATAGTTCTATCCTTGAGGCACTAGGAAGACACTGGAGTTGTTTGAGTAGGGGAGTCATGGTCAGATCTACATTTAAGGAAAACTATTTTGGTACCATGTAGGAAGGATTGAATGAGGAGACACTTGAAGCAATAAGGAGACTGTTAACAGTAATCTAACAGCAAGGTGATGAGGGCCTGAACTAAGGTGGTAGCTGTATGACTGGAGAGAAGGGGTCAGATGCAAAAGATGTGAATATAGAAATGGCAAGATTTGGCAACTGATCGGATATGTGAGATACAAGATAATGTCAAGATTTCAACCCGAGACGCTGGAAGAATGGGGGTTTGACAGAAACAGTCAAGCTTGCAGGAGAAAGTTTACAATGAGAAAGACATTTCAGTTTTAGACATGTTAAATTTAAGAAGTCTCTGGTATATCTAGTTTGAAATGTCTAATGTCATCAGGGACTGAAATTCTGGGGAGAGACTGAAACTGGATACATAAATCTGGGAGGTATCTGTATAGAGATGGAACTATGGAAATGGAAAAATTCCATGGAATTTATAGATTTGGAGTTCACTGGTGACCTTTAGGAGAAAAAAGCTTCAGTAGAAGCTATTCAGTAGAATAATGGTGCAAGAAGACAAATTAACAAAGTGTTAAAGAACAAGTAGATGGTGAAGAATTAGAAGCATGAGGTATAGGCACTTATTTCAAAAATATGAGCAGTGATAGGGAGAAAGGAGGGTGGATGAATGGATGAAAAGGGTCAAGATTAGGCTTTTTGTTTGTCTGGAAGGACCTGTCTGTAAAATGAGGGGATGGCAATTTAACTGAATTAGAAGTTTAATTGAAAAAAAATTTGGAGGTTTTAGTGAACTATAAATTCAATATGAATCAACGCTATATGGCAACTAAAAAAGTTAATATTTAGGGTACATTAAGAGCATACCATTTAGCTGACTAGGGAAGTGGGCATCCTACTCTATTCTAACCTGGTCAAAACACATTTGGAATACTATATTGGGTTCTAGACACAATTTATGAAGGACATATTTAAACTGGTGAGAGTCCATAAAAAGAACAGCTAGAATGGTGAAAGGCTTCAAGATCATGCCATATGAAGAACTAGAAGAACTGGGACTATTTGCTCTCAAGAATGATAGACTCATAGACTTAGAGCTGCAAGGAACCTTGGAAGAAAAAAATAAAACATGGCAGTCAAGCCACGTACCCCATCAGCCCCTCTGTATATTAGCACTATTCACTTATGGAAATTGTTGTTATGGGTTTGATACTGAAAACTTTTTTTCCACTTGTGTCCAATGGAGAAAAACCGTTTAGAGAGAAAAACTTGTGTTTAATGAATTACCAGGTTTTTAAAACCATGTGTTTTTTTACTTCTCTTTGTGGAGGTTGCAGCTATGAAGGATAGTCAGTTACCCATAGTTCATTGCAAGCTCATACCTAGTTTAACTAGGTTGAGATTTGTTACGTACCTGTTAATGCTTATTACTTTTAACCAATCAGATCTTTCTTTGTGTAATGTTTCTTAGGAAAGACTCTTATAGTATGTTAATAGATGCATTGATATATAATACATTAAAATATATAAGTTAGTGTAAGAAAAAATTATTGGATTATGAGTTTAAGTCCTATGATAAACTGCAGAGGGCTAGCAAGAATTCCAAAGTCCAGCTAGAGGATGTACAGTAGAAGCAATAATTACGTAAGTCTTAAAAGCCAAGAAATTATTCATCTTCTGAGGTATCTAGATCCCTTCAGTGTCTTTTTCAAAAGGTTGATTTGCATAATATATTGATGTGTGCAGCGTATTAATGGAGACCAGTTGCAGGTACTAAAATTCTTGGTTTTTTCCTGCTCCACATTTTTAAAGTTAAAAAGGAAACTCTACAGGTATGTTCTAGTGATTTTACCTTGGTTCTGGAAGGTCTTCCTTTCTGTCATGGTATTCTTAGGCCCATACTGCTGGTTATTATGGTTTCTTTGGCATGGAAATATGTGCAAGTAAGCTCCTCGCCCTAATATCCATCCATACCTGCACTGTAGCTTTCTTATATGGAGTACTTACCCTATTATCCACAGGACTACATACTAGAGTGAAGGCTGTTATTCTGTAAAGAGATTAGCATCATGCCAGTAACATTTAACAAGAATAATTAAAAAAAAAAAAGCAGTAGGTTCTACTTTACTGACATCTCCAAGAAAAGACTTTTATCATTATAGACAAATCTTGCTAACTACAATACGGTTATATTAGTCCCTCCAAGGTCTCTTCCAACACATATCTGAGAGTCTGTGACATGTTAGCAGGTATAAAGGGAGGAGTCAACAGAGACCCAAAATGCACTGGGAAAGGTTGAGGGGAGCCAGTACTTAACACAGTGTGCCTTGCACATAAGAGATGCTTGGTGAATTGAGTTGGAAATACGTTCTACAGGAGGCATGAGGGAATGGAACCAAAGGACAAAGCAGGGATTCAATTTAATGAGTAGTAATATCTCTTCTAGATTAGAAGGGAGGTGAGTGGGCAAAGATGTTGAGCTTTGAGGAATACAGGAGCTGGGCAGAGACCTACTAGGCAGATAACTAGTATTTTTTCAGTGAAGTAGGAAAGCTATGTCATCTATAAAAATGGGAAATGAAGGTGCAGTTGTGAGAGAAAACATTTAGAGCAGTCACTTTGTAAGGAGTCACCAAAGGTAGGAATGAACAGCATCAAGGACTCAGCTGAGGTAATATACCAGAAATTTTTAGTGGGTGAAATCAGGTTTTAATATTACAAAGTGAAAGTAACATATTTTTGCAGGTAAGATAACTGCATATTGCCTACACTTGAGATGGGATAGAATAGAGGGCTATAACCCTTCACCCTCCTTCCTTTGGGGCTTAAAACCTTCTCACTACCCTTGCTAGATCTGCGTATACTTGTAATTACAGATAAACCACCCTATTATTTTATTTCTTCCAATGAAATAACAAAGGAACTTCATTTAGCTTCACGGTTAGCAAAGTCACTTGCTTTGCCTCACCTGCCTATGGACTGGAAACATGCTTTCTCCTAATTTTAACCTCCACTATCACCACATTATTTGGGACTAGACAAAAAACAAAGGCTCCATAAATGTGTTTAAAATATTTTTAAACTGTAAGGCACTTTATAAATTTGGGTTATTACTATTCCATCATTCCTCACTCTAGGCAAGTGGTTAGTTTATATCCAAAGCAGATTAATTAAGATACTACAGAATTTGAGATAATTACTTTATCAACTCCAACTGAGCCTGGCCGCCTGGCCGCCTGGACAAAGCTATACTTAACATAATGAAAATGACAAGAACAGGGTGAAAACCAAGACCACAACTGTTTGAAAGCAGCAATTTTATTGGCAATCTTTTTTTCTGCCTGATCCCAGGACTCTGGCCCCACCCCAAACATGGCTCCTCTCACTTTTGAAAGCTAGAATTAATATCTATAGAATGCCAACTCCTTGTTGTGCCCCAACTCCTCCATTTCTCCAAGCCTACTCAGAAGCAGCTGCTTAGAGTCCCTTCCTTACAGAAAGGAGGAGAAATAGGGAAGGAAAGTAAGACTTTAACAGGAAAAAATGGTAGTAACTTGCCCAAGAGTTCAATTCCAAGTTCCTTCAAAAATACCAAACCTACAAAATAAGGTCAGTAACCCAACAGACATTCATTTGCATCGTGAATTGTTCTGAAAGTGTACACAGCTTGGTCTTCCCATCCAAGAGAAAGCCCCTGTTCTCTAGTCCCTGTCCCTCTGACCTATTACAATAGTAATAAATAACCATGGGGCCCTGGGCAGCTCTGTCATCTGACCTGCCCCTTGGCCCACTGCTACCGCTGTGAAGCCAGTCCAGTCTCATAGCCCTCTGTCTTCATGTCATTGAGCCCCAGCTCCTCATTCTGGTCAAATGTGCGTTTATAGCGCTCTACCTTCATCTCTGGGTCATCCTCCGGGGCATACGCATTCTGGTAGACAAAGAGAAAAAGTCAGTGGCTGTGCACCTCCTCTAAACCAGACCCTCTACCTCCAAGCTCAAGCAGCTAACTATCCCTAAACTCCCAGGAACTCAAGAGTTGCTATGCAAGGAGTCCATTTCCAAGGTTGAGGCTAACCAGAGATCAGCAACCTCAGGGCAAGATGAATGAATGGCATCATCCGCCCCAAGTAAAATCAAGAAGTAAGTGAGGCTTGACTATGGCAACCTTCCAACTCCCTTCATGGGGTCTTCTTTCCTCACTACTGGCAAAACTTCCTATCTTGTTCACTTATTAAGGTGTGAGATGATAAAGTTTAGACTGTGCACAGGGATATCAGTAATCCTAAATTATTCCTTTCCCTCAGATCCCTGTGAATGGCAGAAATCACAGCCTCCCCAACCCTCACAAACCCTGTTAAGACTGAATAAGATTTAGCATGCCATCCATGAAAGGCTGCCAATCATTGGTCTAGATCTTCCTCCATGGTCACAGGCAGATGAGGAAAGAATACCATACACTTAATTCTTTGTGCCTTACTCTAACATCACCCAGGTGAGTTCGATTCATTCTGAGAGCTAATTCTAAGAGGACAGTCAAACCTTCATTGCACTATTAGCCTAGAATAATGTCCTTTGATTTCTTGAAAAAGGCTTACACATACTGAACATAAAGAGCCTAACCCCACAGCCACGCAAAGCATACCTGTAAGTAGCTGTTTCCTGCTGGATCATCCAGAATGAAGTGAGCATTCATTTTGCCCTCTATAATCTAACAGCAGCAAGCGAAGGATTAAAAGAGAGGCAGCAGCAACAAAAAAGAAAAATAAATAAAATCATTATTTTTTTTTCCCTTGTAGCTCCTGGAAGTGGGGACAACTATATCCACTGTCCCTGCTATAATGAAGAAGGATGCTAACGTTGCTGAACTAAGCTAGCATGTGGTACTTTACATTCCCCATTCAGCAGGATATAAAAAGGATATGGGGCATGAGTAGGCCTTCCTGTGTTCATAAGAGTATTGATCTCAATACGGTCCCTTACCTGGTTCAGCTTCTGGCTAAACTCTTCCAGCTTTTCTGTACGGTCAGGGTTGGAGCTGTCGCCCAGTGTAAAGGGGTTCCTGGTCACCTGTAATAGCGCACACTCAAAGATTAGGCTCCCAAATTGTTAGGGAAATAGCTTGATTATGGGTAAGAGGAGTGCCCAGGAAGTTTGGCTCATTCTCTAACCATTCTCTGACTTTTTCTTTTTTAACTAGATAAAAGGGAGAGCTCATTTTAAAAGTCTGCAGAAGCTGAATATAAAAAATAATACCATTAAAAATCAGGACAGGAGGCAACATGGAGTAATGAATGGAACAACAGGTCTCAAATCAAGGAGGGCTGGATTCAAATTCCACTTCAAACCCTTAATAGCTATGTGACCTCAGGCAAGTCACTTAACCTCTGTTGACCTCAGTTTAGTTATTTATAAAATAAGGGGGCCAGACTCAATGTAACAATGGCTTAAACTGAATTCTGGAGAAACAAAGCCAACAAATGGTTGAGAGGAAAAAAAATTTTCCAGTCCAAGATAACTTAAAGAGGTCAGCAGGAAAGGCCTGTCTCACCAGGATGGTGGTTGGGCCTGGAGGCCAGCACTGACCCACCAAGGTATGCCAGCAGCAGGACTTGGAGGCAGCTACAGTATCATTAGCAGCAGCTTTGAGAGTTCTCAGCCCACAAATGAGAAGGGGGTCAGACAGCTGGTCAGAAAGGGACTCTTTGCTGGCACTGGGTTCAGGATCCAGTTCCTCTCTCCAAACACTGTTCTAGGTCAAAGTTCAGGGCGAAGTAGAGCACTAGTACACTAGCTCTTGCAGCCACAGGGAGCAAGGGCCCTGGTCACCACTCTAGGGCAGAGAAGAGTGCTTGTGGTCACTCACCCCCAAGCAGAAAGTAGCATTAGTGCTTGTGGCTGCAGCAGAGCAGGACAATTAGTCAGTTTCAGGGCCAAGAAAAGCACTAGCACATGAGGCTACAGAGGAACAAGGTCAGGAGAGTAATGATCACCCCCTTCTTCAGATCATGCCACCTTGAAAGTACTGAAAACTTAGAGACCCCTAAAACGAGCTCTCAAAGCAGCATCACGAAAAACCTAAAATGTGGGACAAGTGCTCCCACCAAACCAAGAGCAGAGCTTAACTTTAACATAAAGTTAAAGTCATGAAATACGTTAGGAAAATGAGCAAAAAAAAAAAAAAAAAAGAACCTGATCATAAAAAGTTACTGCAGTGACAGGGAAGATCAAGACACAAATTCAGAAGACAAAGCTGTCAGAACAGCAAAGCCACAAGGAAATGATGCAAATTAGTCAACAAGTCCAGCAAGAATTCCTGGAAGAGGGGCAGCTAGGTGGCACAGTGGAAAGAGCTCCAGCCTTGGAGTCAGGAGGACTTGAGTTCAAATCTGACCTCAGACACTTGACACTAGCTGTGTGACCCTAGGCAAGTCACTTCACCCCGACTGCCTTAACAAAAAGAAAAAAAAAATTCCTGGAAGAGCTCAAAAAGCCTTTTAAAAATTAAATAAGAGAAGTATAGGAAAAATTGGGAAAAGAAATGAAAGTGATGTAAGAAAATTATGAAAAGACAGTGTGATAAAAGAAGCACAAAAGAAAAATAACATTTTAATTAGCCAAATGGTAAAAGAGACACAAAAAATCCACTTAAGAGAACTCCTTAAAAAGTAGAATTGGCCAAATGGGAAAAGAGGCATAAAAGCTCACTGACGAAAATAATTCCTTAAAAATTAGAATTGGGCAGCTGGAAACTAATGACTCCATGAGACATCAAGAAACATTAAAACAAAGTCAAAAGAATTTGTAGGGGCAGCCAGGTGGCGCAGTGGATAGAGCACTGGCCCTGGAGTCAGGAAGACCTGGGTTCAAATCTGGACTCAGACCAAACACTTGATGCTTACTAGCTGTGTGACCCTGGGCAAGTCACTTTACTCCAATTGCCTTAAAAAAAATTTTTAGAAGTCAAGAATTTTTTAAAAACGTGAAATATCTTGATGCAAAAACAACTGACCTGGAAAACAGATCAAGGACAGGTAATTTAAGATTTATTAGACTACCAAAAGCCATGATCAAAGAAAGAGTCTAGACATCATACGTCAAGAAATTATCACGAAAAACTGCTCTAATATCCTAGAACCAAAGGGTAAAATAGAAAATGAAAGAATCCACCAGTCATCCTCCTGAAAGAGATCCCAAAATGAAAACTCCCTGGAATATTGCAGCCAAATTCCAGAGCTCCCAGGTCAAGGAAAAAATATTGCAAGCAGTCAGAAAGAAACAATTCAAATATCATGGAGCCACAGTCAGGAAAACACAAGATTTAGCAGCGTCCACTCTAAAGGATCAGAGGGTTTGGAATATGATATTCCAGAAGGCAAAGGAGCTACAAATACAACCAAAAATCACCAACCCAGCAAAAATTCGTATAATCCTTCAGGGGGAAAAAATAGATATTTATAAGAGGACTTTCAAACATTCCTGATGAAAAGACCAGAGTTGAACAGAAAATCTGACTTTCAAACACAAGACTCAAAAGAAGCACAGAGGTAAATATGAATAAGAAATCATAAGAAATTCAATAAGGTTAATAAACTGTTTACATTGCTATATGAGAAAATGATACTTACAACTCCCCTGAGTGATTTGTATGACACTGAATGAGTAAATTAATTTTGGAAGAATTGTTATTTTTAGTAATATTCCCTTGGCCTACCCACGAGCAACTGATATTTTTTCAATTGTTTAGATCTGACATTATTTGTGTGAAGTGTTTTATAAGTGTCTTTAGTTATTTTAAATGGAATTTCTCTACTAAATTTCTCTACTAAAAATGCTAGCTATAGCATTAAGAGAAGAAAAAGAAACTGAAGGAATTAGACCAGGCAATGAAGAAATAAAACTATCACTCTGTGCAGATGATATGATGGTACACTTATTGTGTCATAAGACTTACATGAACTGAAACAAAGTGAAGTGAGCAGAACCAGGAGAACATTGTACACAGTAACAGCGGTATTATATGATGATCAACTGTGAATGACTTAGTTATTCTCAGCAATACCATGATTTAAGATAATTCCAAAGGACTTATGATGAAAAATGCTCTCTACCTCCAGAGAAAGAACTAAAGGACTTACAGAGTCTGAATGCAGATTGAAGGATATTTCTTTTCTTTATTTTTCTTGGGTTTTGGGTTGTTGTGGTTTTTTTTGGGTCTGTGTTTTCTTTTACAACATGGCTAATATAGACAAATATTTTGCATGACTTCACATGTATACTTTATGTCAAATTGCTTGCCTTCTTAATGTGGGTGAAAAGGGAGGGAAGGAGAGAATTTGGAACTCAAATTTTCCAAAAAATTAATGTTTAACAACTTTTTACATGTACTTAGAAAAATAAAGTAAAAAAAGATAAGGAAAACTTTTTTTAAAAAAAGATGCTAAGTAAAAAAAACTGACATGATGCTTGCAGTAACAGATGAGAAATGAGGAATTTAGAGCAAAAAAGAACTGAAAACAATATATACAATGGCGACAAATAGCAACGAAAATGAAAAAATAATGGAAAACCAACAAAGGTCTTGGAGAAAAGAGAATGAACATGCACAAAAGGCTCACACAGCAGAGATGGGGGGGAATACTGGGGTGGAATATTGTTTACGTTTTCATAGAGGGCTTATATATCAAATATTTTAACTTATTAATAAATTTTAATTATTTTTCTTTATCACAAGGGAAGGTTCAATTTGGGTAAAGGAAAAGAATAACTGTGATATTAAGGTGAAAGTGATCCAGAAAGGAGGTTGTGTGTATGTGTGTGTGTAGAAGTATGACTGCGATATTAAGACAAAAGCCATCAAGAAAAAAGGTGTTTTTAAAAATCTATAGGCCTAATTTCAAATGATGCTCAGGGCAAAGGAATTCCCGAATATGGAAAATGGTCTTGAGACCTCCAATCCTTCTCCCAGCACAAGTGCTGGGCTTTTATAGCCCACAGGACTTACCAGATCACAGATGTCTTTCAGCAGTCCCTCCAACGTGGTAAACTTGCCCCCGAGGGCACCCATGCCCAGCTCAAACTCCAGTTCTGGGATTTCCACACTGCATGTCTCAGACTATAGGATGAGAGAAGACATGGAACCTTAAACCAAAATCAGGGATAGAAAAGCTGAATATCTGAGTTGAGCATGAAAACATTCTGTAGCTGCTGGCAAACAGCTAGCATTGACAGTTTGAGGTCAGTCTCAACTACTCAATTTCTTCTAATCCACAGAGGCTACAGACCTAAATAAATGGAGTCTATTTAACTAGGGAGAGACAGAAGCAAATATATTCTCATAATCATAGTATCTACACTATCAGACACCTTACTATGGGAGGGTAGAAAGGAGAAGCCCTACAAATTATGTGTTTAAGGTCAAATGGGTGAGCTTGTGAATTCTGATCTCACCAGGGCCTTAAAATTCCTTCTCTACCTGTAACCCCACAGATAGTATGCTTAAGGAAAGCTTTTTCCTCTTCAAAACCAGGGAAAGAGGTTCCTCACACAACTCTAAGGAAAGGAAAATATTCCTGCCTTTTCCAACCTACTCCCAAGGAAAAGGAGAACGAAGCAGCTTTACCAACAAGTAGATACAAAGAAGAACAGTAAATATCATGATCAGGCCTACCTTCAGTATATCCCTGGTCATATCTGAGGGATCGGTGATATGAAGGGTTATCCTGGTGCCCAAGGGCTCCACTGCTCCTCCTGACTTTACCTACACACCAAGTTCAGTCAATAAAGAGAAGGGGCCCACAAGCCGGAAAGGAAAGGGGTCCTTGTGAATCAAGGATTCTCCCAAAAGGAAGGCTATGTTAGGGATAAGGTATGAATTAATTCCAACCTGGCCCATTCAAGGTTCCCAGGAACAGTGGAGAGCATATGCCAAGAGTGGAAATAGGGAAAATCTAACTAGAAGTGGAGGTGGTTGCACTATACCAATTAGAACCAGGGGTGGTTAGAGTAGACTACATACACCCCCAGTATCAATGCCTGGAAAAAGAGATCACCTTTCCCCCAAGCAGGCAAGATCAACCAAAGAAGTGGTTAGGCTTTCAGATCTAAACAAGCAGCCTTGAACTCACCTTGTATGCAACTGTCCCCTTAAAGAACCAACCCCCTCCCCACCCTCCCACCCCCACTAATGGTCTAGAAAAGAAAAATGGCAGAAGTAGTCCCTTCAGAAAATGGATTCATCCAGTGTCTCCCTTCAGAGTGCAGAGGGTCCAATTCAGAGCCTACCTCATTAGTCCGGTGCCCACAGTTCTCACAATTGGTCGCCATGATGATAACCTCTTTAAAGTGGGGGATTTCTGAAAAAGGGGGTTAAGGAAATCTTCCAAAGGGACAATAATAAAGACAACGTAAATAGTCAAGTGCTTGGGTCAAGTTACCTAAAGAAGTTAATTCATGGAGCAAGCCTCTGGGCTCAGGTGTATTTGTCCAGAGCTTATTTCACGTCAGGCTAGGTTTCCAAACCAAATTGACTCAAAAGATGTCAGAGAAGAAAAAAGTCACAGGAAAAACCCAGGAACTGAGAGGAAGGGTCAATGACTCTGAATACAAAGACCAGGATCTGCAATGTAACCCACGAAGACATGCCCCTTGCCCAGAACATATGCTTTTCTGGAGATACATCTTCTCTGGCCTCTAAGTGATTTCTTTCATCTGCCAGGTAGAGGAACTCATGATCCCACAAAAGATACGCACTAATTTCATGTTGGTGGTGGCAGGAGCATTGCACTCAGGGCAGTTTGTGTTGAACTGTAACACCTGGAATAGGGGGTAGAGACAAAAAGTGAGCTTTCAAGGCAGAGGATGCTTAGAACAAAGACATATCACCTATATCCCAAGGGAGTCAGCAAAAACGTAAGAAGGATCAGTCCAGCCCACCCATAATCCCATTCCTATGCACCTGCCCAATGGGACTCAATTTCACTCACTTCATTCCTGAGATCTTCCACAGGGTCAGTGGACTTCTCTTCAGGCTCTTCAGTCTGGAGCAAAAGAAATGCAATTACCAAAGAGCTGCAGTTAACATTTCACTCACTCAGAAAGAGAGAAGGAGGAAAGATTCTAGGTCTGACAGAGATGCTAAGGGACAGAATGACAGCCCAAAGAAGACAAACACTATTTATGGCCTTATGTAACCTTAATTATTTACCCTTACCCCAATAAGAAATCTTAGAATAAAAACTCAAATGCATACACCTGTTGAAACAGGGCATATAGGGCATAATTAGACAATACTGAAATGGGTACGGGTATTTCAAACCACTTTGAGTTTGCTAAGGATAAGGTGCTTTCTTATTTCTCAAAGCATTCTTCTTCCTCCTCTTTCTCCTCACTATTCACCTTGAGACCCAGCATGTCTCCTTGCTGGGGAGTCCTGGTGTAGTGTGTGATCACCAGAGCATCATCTTTCCGAGGGGCATGCGGATTCTCTACAAAACTGTTCCCTGAAGGATCATCAATGATCTATCAGGTGGATAATAAGAAGACAGTAAGCCCAAGAAGAAAATGTTTTAGAATCCAACAACCCACCATCACAGATAAAAAAAGGGACCCTTCTTTCCAGACCATGAGGATAAGATTAAGGATGGGGTCCTGGTGGCTTCTTCTGCTCCCCCCCATTCAGGGTAACAGAGCTACTCACAAAAGTGAATGGGGAGTCCACTCGCTTCAGCTGCTTCAGCTTGGCAATAAACTCATCAATTTTCCCAGCCATGGTTTCCCCTTTCGCCTATCATGAACATAGAGATAAAAGACTGTTGCCTTGGCGCCGAGCTCCATCAGATTACCATTCTAGGTAAGAAGCTTTCAAAACAGTAGCCCAACAAAACACAAACATCTAGCAAAACAGCTAAAGGATAGTGAGAGAGCCTGGAAGTTAACATTTAAATCCAACAACCGAGCTGGATATGGACTTCAAAGGGCTTTGCTCTAATAGTCGAATCAATTCAGCAAACATTAGGCACTGGTTTTACAATGACAAAAATAAAAGTTTCTCATTTCAAAATGCTTACCTTCTACTCTGCATATAATTTGTACACAGGTAAGTAAAACAGAGAAGGAAGAGAGCACTGGGAGGGTTGGGAGGTAAAGCAAGGGCTTCCCAGAGGAGGTGGCACTTAAGCTGTCACTGAATTCTTCCACATGCTTCCCAGCTCAATTCCAACACTGAATCAGGGACTATTTTTATGAACAGGACGCTAAATACCATAAAGTTGTGGCTGACACATAAGAGGACAACTAGTCCTCAAGTTTACTGAAATCTGATATTCCACAGCTTACCCTGCGGGCTGGTTGGTCCTGTTCCAAACCAGAGATAGCACGACTAATTAATCCTTCGACAGTGGTCAGAGCTGATGAAAAACATCAAAGCGGGCAACGTCAATTATACTGGATTTCTTCATCTCTCACCTTAACACAATTAATTCTTCAATGCTGACCAAGAAGTAAACTCTCATGTTTACTAAAGAATCTATCAGACAATATATTAAGAAAAATTGGATATGTGTTTCCTTTGTTTGGGATAGTTCCACACACTCAAACTCACCTCCTTTTTGGCTGAAAGCAGGAATCTCAAAGTCTAACTCTGGGATCCGTGCTGTGGCACAATCTGTTTTCACCACCTCTCGGTTCATGTCCTGAGCAGAAAGAGAAGGTCACAGACCACAATTGACAGCAACACTGCCTCTTCCCCTGGACCCACACAGATGGGGAGCTAAACCCTGATCCCTACCAGTCTTCATTTCAGTTAACATAACTCACAGCTTTAGAAGTCAAGAGAATTTAGCAGGGAATGGAATGGTCTCATACAGTGGGTACTAAGCTGTTGAGATGTTGGAGTAGGAAGGGTATGCTGTCAAGAACCTTTCTAGGACAATGTTCACCATGAGCACCTGCCCTCCCATTCCACCTTACCTCAGGAACCCTAACAGACAAGGCATAGCGCACACCCTGTTCCTGGATCCTGCCTGCAGACTGAATCTCTGTGTTGGACCAGCCACAATGCTCACAGGAAAAAGAACTTACGATGATCTCTTTGAAGAAGGGAATCTTGGTTAACAGAAGGCGAGTCATTCCCTGGATGGATTAGACCACAGACAAAGAAAAGTGAGGTCCCTTCCCCAAATTTTCTGTCCCTTCATATCTCCAGATGGGACCCCTAGGAGGCAGTCGTCAGTATCTTCTCCCACCTCCTACCCCACTGTCTTCTAAAATCTCTAGTTTCTTCCACATCTTAATAAACAGGCATTTAAACCCTACCTCCCTCAAGCTATGCTCCAATATTTCTCTCTTTCACCACAAGTCATAGAAAAAAAAAATGTCTCAATAAGCACTTCCACCCACCTCTCTCTCCGTTCTCAACCCCTTGCAATCTGGCTTGTGACCCCACCAAAGGGCTGAAACTTCTCTCCAAAATCAGCAATAATCTCTTTATTGGTAAATCTAATGGCCCTTTCTTACTGCTCATCTAGCCTGCACTTTCTGCAACATCTGACCCCGCTGATAACCACATCTTATAGACTCTCCCCTGCTTGTATTCCTACCTGTCTGACCTGTCCTTTTCCGTTTCTCTGCCCCTGACTTGACTATGTAACTTTGGGCAAGTCAATGATCCTCTCTAAACCTTTTCCTCATATGTAAAATGAGGCTGGGAGGGATGTAAAAATGGATCCCCTCCCCAAAGTTCTATCCTAGGCCCTCTTCTCTCTTTCAACACTCCTCAGTAACCTTACCAGTTCTCATAGATTCAACTATTACCTCAGTGCAGATGACTCCCAATCTAAGCATCCATCCCTCACCTTTTTCTTGAACTCCAGTGCAGGATCTCTATCTACATGTCCCGAATCTGGCTGTCAAACTCAATATGTTAAAAACCACTCATTATCCTTCCCATTAAACCCATTCCTCTCGCAGTCATCCAGGCTCTCAGCCTAGGAGTTATCTTTCCTTTTCAACTCTTTACTCTCACCACACACATTCCTCATGTCCAATCTCTAAGTCTTGTCAATTCTGTCTCCACCTTGCCTCACATCCTTTCCCTTCTCCACGTACATTACAGATACCCTAGTTTTTAGGTCTCTATATACTCCTAATATCCTTTTAATTGGTCTCCATGTCTTAAGTCCCTCATCTCTCCAATCCATTCTCTACAAAACTGAAAAATTAATATTCCTGAAGGATGGGTCCAACTATGTCACTCCCCAATTTAAGAAGCTTCAATGGCTCCCTACAATCTTTAACCTAGGGTCCACAGATAGCCCCCCCCAAAAGGATCCATAGATAGATTTCAGGGGGTCCATGAATCTGAATGAAAAGAAAACCTCTAATTGAAACTGAGTATTCCTTCAATTATGAAAGTAAGCAACAAACTATTCTGGCATTACCAGCACCTATGACTGTCACCATAAGTCACCATTACGTTGTTTCAGATCTCAAAATACTGTTTATGCCTATAACTACTTCAAAATTACTGGTTATTACACATCGTTAAACTGATTGAAGTCTTCCTGTCCACAAACTGTACTTCCTTTGTACTCCCATACATTTTAAGTTATATATTTAAAAACATTATTCAGAGGAGTCCATTGGCTTCACGAGACTGCCAAAGGAAAACCTGACACAACAAAGTTTAAGAACCTCTACTCTAGGATAAAACGCAAACTCCTCTGTTGGGAATTTTGAACTCTTCACCATCTGGGTCCAGACCATCTTTCCAGGGTGATAGATTATCCATTACTCTCCCTCATACACGCTTGTTTTATGTCCCATCCCTGTACCTTTACCCAGACTGACCCCTCCCCAAATGTTCTCCCTGCCCACCTCTGATTCAAAGTATTCCTGGTTCCCTCCTCTCAAAAGCCACTTCCTGGAGGAAGAGGCCTTTCCAGACGCCCCTTGTCTTTAGTACTCCCTTCCCTCCCCGAATCACCATAGAGACCTGTGTTTACTTGGGTAGGCCAAGCTTCTTTTGCTGTCACCGCGCGTGGCACACAGCAAGTGCTTAATAAATGCACCTGTGACTGCTCCCGTCGAACACCACTCAGACCCCCAGCTACTGCAGGGTCAGTCCCTGCGCAGACGGACGAGAGAGCAGGGACGGTGCCTCCCTTTTGAGGTCTCGCCCCGGCCCCGGCCCCCAGCCGCCCCCAGCCCCCGGCCTCACGTTGCCATAACAGTTCATGCACAGGGACTCGATCTCCGTAGGCTGCTGTTCCTCATCCTCGGCGCTGATGGGATGGAACAGATGCCCGGAAGCGAGGGTGGGGCCCCCGGGAGGGCCGGAGGCGGCGGCGGTCGCGGACCCCGGCCCTACGCCGGGCCCGACACCAGGATCCAGCGCCCAGAGGGCCGACATCTCCACCACGTTAGTCCCAGCCGCTTCTGCTTCCGGCTTCCGCCCCGGGGGCGCGGCCACACCTCCCTTTCATAGGAACTTCCGGGGCGTATGAAGGTACCGCCCCCTGTTAAAGGGCCCGCTAGCATGTAAAAGCTTTTGGCTAGGCGGGAGCAATATGTATGTCCGCCGGAAGTGCCTGTGAAGAGGACGTGAAGGAAGAAGGCGGAAGGGGTTAGGATAGCTCCGCCCCACGCGGCGTCGAGATCCCAACTTTTCTCCGCCCACCAAGCATTTTAGCTGTTCTGTCAGACTGTACCTGCAGTGGTGTCGCACGACCTCCGGCCTCTATCTCCCCAGCGCCCCCTGAAGCACCCCCGTCTCTGTGTCCCCCTCCCTCCCCCTGTCCCTGCCCCCCACGTCCGACCGTCCCCCTCAAGAATAAAGGGAGAGGCCTCCTTGCGTCCTAAATCCTTCCTTTCAGGTTCTTCCCACGTTCTAGGGCTCGTTCAAGTCCGGCTGTCTCCTGACCCCACCCCGCTGTCCTTGGCCATCTCCCAACCTTTTGAGAAATCGTGTCCTCATCTCCCGGCCTCGATACCTCAGAGCTTCTTTACATCTCCACCCACCTGCTCCTTTTGCTTCTGTCCCAGAAGATGAGGTGGCTGGTCTCCTCAATCTTATTCCCCTTACTCAGAAACTTGTTGCATCCATCATTCTTTCTCAGATCTTCTCTATGCCTAGTCTTTCTTTTTTTTTTCCTTGCGAGGCAGTTGGGGTTAAGTGACTTGCCCAGGGTCACACAGCTAGTGTCTGAAGTTACATTTGAACTGAGGCCCTCCTGACTCCAGGGCCAGTGCACCCCCAACTGCCCCTTCTATGCCTATTTTTGACCCCTTACAAATATGCTCAGGTCTTGCCTATCCTTTAAAAACAAACAAACCAAACCTCTCCTCCCTTTCAGCTAAATCCCTAGAAAGAGAAGTCTACCTACATTCATATGATTCTGCCATCAGACCACTGATTCAATCCTCAGCACCTTAGACCAGGAGTGGGGAACCTGCTGCCTCGTGACCACATGTGGCCCTCTAAGTCCTCTTTGACTGAATCCAAACTTCATAGAGCAAATCCCCTTAATAAAAGGATTTGTTTTATAAAACTTGGATTCAGTCAAATGGCCTTACCCGAGGACCTAGAAGGCCACATATGGCCTCAAGGTGGCTTCCAATCAGATCCCTCTACTGGAACCACTTTTTCAAAAGGCAACAGTAACCTCTTCTTTTCTCAGTCTAGTGGCTTTTTCTCAGACTTCATTCTCTTTGGCATTTTTATGATGAAGATGATGATGCTATACATCATAGCCAAAATCGCTATACCATTTTAAGGTTTGTAAAGCATTTATATATAGTATCTTATTTAAGCTTCACAACAACCTTGTGAAGTGGGGGTTGTACAGATATTCCAATTTTAGAGATGAGGAAACTGAGGCTCAGAGAGCTTGTGACTTGTCCATTATCACATTGTTTGTTGTAAGTGTTTGAAGTGGGATATAAGCCTGGCACTCTTCTGACTCTAAGGGCAAGACTCTATTATCCGTTCCCTTGGTTTCAGGCACATTTCTCAGGCTAGTTTGTTAGTTCATTATCTTCACCCTATAAGTCTAGGTATCCTCAAAGAATCCTAGGCACTCTTCTTTATACTCTGCCACTTGGCCATCTCATCCAATGCCAGAGGTTTAATTATCACCACTATGTGTTTGACCCCCTTACAGATAACTTTATATCTGTAGTCCAGCCCTAATTTCTTTCCTGAATTCCCATCCCTCATTGTCATCTGCTTGTTGGATATCTCCATCTGGATGTCCTGGTGTCACCTCAAGGCACAACTTTTTTTTAACTGAAATTATCTGTTCTTAAGTCAACTTCTCCTGTCATCTTTGCTATTTCTGTTGATGACACTCCATTCTCCCTCCACTCCCACCCCCGAGTCACCTACACTCCAAATTCCAGTTAGCTTTGACTCTCATTTCTCCCACTCTGCTCCCAGAAGTTAAAGGGTTTGTTAAATCCTATTAGCATAATTCCTTTTGAATCTATCCCTTTTCCATTCATATTGATACAACCCCCATTCAGGCCTCTATCACCTCTTGCTCTTCTGATCCGTCCTTCACAGAGCTGCCAAAATAAACCAAGGTACAAGTCTGACCATATCACTCTCTGACTCAAAAGCCTTCACTTTCTCCCTACTGTGTATCATTGTACAGTAGAAAAAGGAGTGGGTTTGAAGTCCTAGGATCTGGGTTCAAATCTTGGCTCTCACCCTATTACTTTGGTCCAGTCTCTTCACCTCTCTTGACCTCACTTACCCAATCTGTAAAATGAGGGAGTAAGACTAGATGACCTCCAAGGCACCTAAATGCCCAAGGTGGTGTGGTGGGTAGAAGCCAGGGGCCTGGAGTCAGGAAGACTGGAGTTCAAACATGACCTTAGACATTTACTAGCTGTGTGACCCTAGGCAAGTCACTTAACCTCTGTCTCCCTCAGTTTCTTAAACTGTAAAATGAGGATAATAATAGCACCATCTTCTCAGGATTGTTGCAAGGATCAAATGAGATATTTGTAAAACACTTAGTACAGTGATTGGCATATAGTAGGTGCTATATAAATGTTTGTCTTCTCTTCTTCCCCCACCCCAACTTTTTCCAGCTCAAAAGTCCATGAGCCCAATAATTGACTTAGCCCTTAAAGACTTGCAAAGTGCTTACGTACATTATGTCATTAGTTTGGTATTTATGATCCTTCACAATCTGGTTCCAACCTACCTCTCCTGCCTTGTTCTGTACTTCTCTCCCTCATGTACTCTTTGTTTCAGCTAAACTGGACTACCAGCTGTTTCCCAAACTCAATATGCCACCTCCCACCTTCATGCTACCTCTCGTCGTTAATGGATATCTTTAGAGATAGTCTCTAGTGGAGTCCTTCAGGAATTTGTCCTTAGCCCTATGTTGCTCATCATTCATGTCATTTCCCCTAACTGTGGATGTTTCCCGAGGTTCTGTCCTAGACCTTCTTCTCTTCCCCTCTATACTCTTTCACTCTTGGTAATTTCATTAACTACCGTGGGTTAATTGTATTAACATAGGTTTAATTTTCTCAGGTCCTTTCCTCATTCTTAGAATGCACAACTTCCTTATCTCTTCATTTCAGAATCGTTTCATTCTTTCAAGGTTCAATTTGGATTCCACCTCCTCCGTGAAGCCTTTCCTAATTACCCCAGCCAAAAGAATGTGTTCTTTACCTTCTTAAATTTTCTTTATACACTATGGATCTCTCTTTTGCTCCCATCACAGTAAGTACAAGTTTTATATTCATATGTGTACATTTGGCATGTGCCTCAATCAATTATTTAACAAACATTTATTAAACACATGCTATATGCCAAGCACTTTGCACAGAAGACTGTTAGCTCTGTAAAGGTAGCGACTGTCAAGTGTTATTTTGTATTCCTAGAACCTAGTACACCTTACACATACATACTTAACAGATGTTCTTCATTCTCCCTGCTCTCTCACCTCAATTTCTTTCAGTAAAGGGATTATAGAATTATTTATCAGGATAAGTGGGATGCTAACAGACAAAATGCATAGGAAGCAGAAGTTTTTCACTTTTTCTGTGTCTTGTAACCCTGTCCTATTAAAGATGATCCTTGACCTGGGAAAAATAGATCATAAATGATTAACAGGGATTTGATATCTAAGATAACTGAGAAGATAGTAAGAGACAAACGAGTTGCCCTCTGTGACTTCAAGCCAACAAGTCAGAACTTTGGTCCCAGGGCAGATAGAAGTAAAGAACTCCTGTAAATGATCTTTTGAATAATCCTAGGAAACCATAGAGTGCTTTAGGAATAGAGACAGGCAAATGTTTTCCCAATTTTGAAAAAAGGGAAGAAGTCAAACTGTTGACAAGTAAGCTTAACTTCCATTCCTGGCAAAATTTTAGAACATATTATTAAAGAGAGAATTTGTGAGCATATCATATGAAGAGGTAAATGTTGATTGCTCAGAAGTCTGTGTGGTTTTATTAAGAAAAGGTCATGCCAAATTAATTTCCTTTCTTGATGTGGTTACTAGACAGGTTAGAGGGGTTTCTTAGATCTAGTATTATTGAATTTTAGCAAAATATCAGACAAAGTCATATGTTATCCTTATGGACAACATTGGAGAGACATAATAAGAAGAAAAAGACACTGGATTTGGTGTCAAAGGACCTAGGTTCAAATTCCATCTCTGCCACTTTAACTTCTGTGTGACCTTGGGCAAGTCAATTAGTTCTCAGGGTTATTAGTTTCTTCTTCTATAAAATCAGGGAATTGTACTAAATGGCCTCTGACACCTTTCCAGCTCCAAATCTATGATCCTGTGGAGAGATATGAACTATGATTAAATGGATTCAGAATTGGTTGAATGACCCAAACTTATCATTATGGGTATTTTTAGAGTTAGTCTGTAGTGAAGTCCTTCAGGAATTTGTCCTTGGCCCTGTGTCGCTCATCATTCATGTCAAATCCACTAACTATGAATATTCCGCAAGGTTCTATTCTAGACCTTCTCTTCTCCTTCCACACTCTCACTTTTATTAGCTGCCATGGATGTAATGATCATCTCTATGCAGCTGACTCCCTGATCTCTATATCAAGCCCCAGTCTCTCCCCTGAGCTTCATTCCCACATCACCGTTTGCCTTTTGGATATTTCAAACTAGACATCTCAAAGATATCTCAACTTCAAGATGTCTAGAACCAAACTCATTATCTTTCCCTCAATAGCCTCCCTTCATCCAAACTTCACTATTTCTGTCAATGGCACCACCATCCTCCAGTGTCTCAGGTTTGTAATTTTGGCATTATCTTCAACTTCTTACTCTCCCTCAAACCACATACCAAATAAGTTGCCAAATGTTGCCCTTTCTATTTCCACAATATCTCCTGCCTCTAACCCCATCTCTCTTCTCACATAGCTGCCACCTTAGTTCACGCCTTCATTCCCTCCCTTCTAGATTATTGCAACAGCTTAGTCTCCCTGTCTCGAGTTTCTCTCCACACCAGTCCATCCTAAACAATGCCACAAAAGTAATTTTTCTTAAGGGCAGAGCTGACTGTGTGACTCCCCTGGCTAACTAGCTCCAATGGCTTCCCAGTACCTCTAGGTATGGTGGTGTCAAGCTTAAATAGAAATAGATCCTTCCAGGCTGCATATTGACATTGTTGTTGTTGTTGTTGATGTTGTTGTTGTCATTTCAGTCATGTCCAACCCATCGGGGTTTCTTGGCAAAATATACTGGAATGGCTTTCCATTTCCTTCTCCAGCTTATTTTACAGAAGAGGAAACTGAGGCAAACAGGGACTTGCCCAGGGTCACATAGCTATTCTGAGGCCAGATTTAAACTCAGGTTTTTGTGATTTCAGGCATGGTGCTCTATCCACTGTTAATCACAAATTAATATTATGTTGTATTTTATTTTTATTTATTTTATTAAACATTTTCAATTATATTTTTTAATCTGGTTCCAGTAATTTTTCTGGCTATATGCAGCCCAATGGGCCACAAGTTTGATACCTCTGTTCTAGGGTAAAATATAAGCTCCTCTGTTAGGCTATTAAAGTTTTATACAACCTAGCCCCAACCTGTTTAGTTTCTGTGGACATTATTCTCCTTTCCCTGCTCTGTAACCCAAGTATAAATTGACCGATCTATTAATCAACAGCAACATCTATCCCCCATCTCTATGCATATGCTCTGGACCCTATGCCAGATATGCACAACCTCCTTACTTCTGCCTCATAGGGTCCCTCTCTTCTTTTAAGATGCAATTCAAGCACCGTATTCTGTATGAAGTCTTTCCTGATCCCCCAGCTGCTAGGACCCTCACTCTCAAACTACCTTGCATTCAACTAATTTGTACTACTTTGTATTTTTTTGGTATTTATTATCTTTACATTTGTGTTTTTATACACACATATATAAAACATATGTGTATATAAAACATGTATATTTATGTATGTGTGTATATGTGTATGCGTAAATTTATGATCCTAGGAGTAAGAAGGAATGAATGAAAAAGAAGAAAGACAGTGATAACTTCAACGCATTCATATATTAAAACTCACAACCTAAAATAAGTTTACATCATGAGGATATATGTGTGTATGTATATATTTGTTGTTTTCTCTAATGGAATAGAAGGTCATTTTGAGAAGAGATTTTTTTTTTTATTCTTTAGACTTGTATTCTCAGTTCCTAGTACAGTGCCTGGCACATAGTAGTCACTTAATAAATGCTTGTTAATTGATAGATTGATTGATTGATGCAGAAATTGAAAATAAGAAGTTAAGACTTGCCCATGGTTGCACAGCTAGTGAGTGTCTGAAGCAAGATTTAAACCTAGGTCTTCTTGTCAGCAAATCCATTACCTTACCCACTACATGTACCTTGCTGCCTCTCAATAGCAGATGACATCTCCCTTCTGTACTCGGAACAAGCTTTTTCTATCTCTGCTCCCCACCTGCTAGTACCCTTAGTGGGTGCTGTTGAAAGTGGCAAAGCCCAGATTCTCTGGGGTGAGGTTTAGTTTGAGGGGGTGGTCAACAAGTTTCTTCTGCGAGCCAAAAGCCCCTAGGTACTGATATATGGAAGAATTCGGTCTGAAATAAAGGAACCAGAAATGAAATCTAAGGCCCAGGATCTTAGAGCCAAATACCAATCACTTTATCCTCTCATGTGGCGCATCAAAAACCATCAGTAAAATTTAAAAAAATGTTTTGTTTAACTAGCTTCCTCAAATGAATTAGTAAGTCAATAAGCCTAATGCACCTAACTGCACCTACTGTAGTAACCAAGTACCACCAGGTGGCACACTAGCAGGCCTGAATCAATTAATAATTATATAAATATTTGTAGAATATTCCCGTTCCCGTTTTGTATCAGTAGAGGGAATCTCCTGCCTGGAAATTCCTCACACCAATGAAATTCCAGATCTGGTCCAAGAATAAAAATAAATAAGTTATTTGTGTGTCCCAAACACATAAATTTTTTTATATTGTAGCATATTTTAAAAAAAAAACAAACTTGGATGCTTTTACCCTGAGGAAAAAGGAAGCTAGGGCTGGTGTCTACATCTTTGCTTCCCTCCACCAATATAACTACTTTTAAGTTGATCTATAAGGACCACAATGATGGTCTTGAGCAGAAGCTTGGAGCAGGTGGGGGAGGAATTTGACGAGAGCCTTGAGAAGGTACAATGTGACTTTTTTTTTTTCCAGGCAATTGGGGTTAAGTGACTTGGCCAGGGTCACACAGCTAGTAAGTGTCAAGTGTTTGGTCTGACGCCAGATTTGAACTCAGGTCCTCCTGACTCCAGGGTCAATGCTCTATCCACTGTGCCACCTAGCTGACCCTGCAATGTGACTTTCAGAGCACCAGGATAGAGACCTGGGTTCTAGTCAGAGCTCATCCACATTAACTAGGTAGCTAGGTGACATTAAGCACTTTGCCTCTCTGGGCTTCAGTTTACTCATCTATGTAATGAGGGATGGGAACAGATGTGAAATGACCTCTAAGTTTCTTTCTCTTCTAAGATCTAGTTGTGACACATAAGAGGCTAAGGATGTTGAGAGGGGAACATAAGGCCTAGGGAGATGAAAAGGGGACAGTCAATAAAAATGGCACAAGACGCAATCAGAGTATAGGAAGACTGACACTATATGTTGCTGAAGAGAGAGCAATGATGGAGGATGCTGCTTTCATCCAACAGTAGCCCTAGCATCAATGTCCAGGGAGTACGGCTCCTCTTGGAGGGCTTTTAACTTGATTGATATAAAGTGATATCAAGTTTTAGCACAGTGCTTGGGGTGTGGTAATTATCTAATAAAGGCTTTTTTCATTCACTAAGAGGATTTTATTGAAAATAACCAGAATGAATAGCAGGAAGAGAAGAGATGGCTTCAATCAAAACTGAGGGACCTGAATAGTACAGCCAGGAGTTTTTCCAGGCTGTGTCAGACCACTCTGACATAAAAGGAACTCTAGGGGAAGCAAGAGAAGCGTTATGGTACTATGGGAAGAACACCAGATTTGGGCTCAGAATCCCTGCTTTACCACTTATGAGCTGGCCATTGCCAAAGCTAGTCACAATTCTCTAGGCCTCAGTTGCCTTATCTGTAGAATGACGGAATTGCGCTAGGTTATCTCTAATATCTTTTCTACACTAAATTGAGAATCATACTATTCTGGATATATTTTGCATGACAACACATGTATAATCTCTATCGAACTGCTTGCCTTCTCAATGACGGGGACGGGGGGAAGAGAGGAAGGGAGAGAATTTGGACCTCGAAATTTTAGAAATGAATGTTATAAATTGTTTTTACATGTATCTGGGGAAAATTTTTAAAAATAAGTGTTAGAAATAAATAAATTTACGATCCTAGGAGTAAGAGGGGATGAGGAGAGAAGAGGAGAGACAGTCATGATCTCAGTGCATTCATATATTAACAAAACTCACAACATGAAAAAATAAGTATACATCATGAGATGGGTGTATGGTCTGTAACCCAACAAGTTAACTAGTCCCAGGCAGCCTAGCAGGGGCTCAGTGACAGAAGTCCAGCTTCAGATGTCTTTGAAATATCCCGGGTCCTTTTACGTACAAGAGCAAGGTCCTTGCTGATCAGCTTCAAACCCAACAGGGCTCATATACATACGTACATACATCTACATACACATACACATACACACGCGTACACGCATACACCATTCTCTTCTCCCTTCAATTCCCCATACAGCATCAACTTTCATTAAAGGCATCAAGTCAGCCCTGTGGACCAACAGTAGCTAGAAGCTGGCTAGAGGCAAGCACCCTGATCCAAGATGATCCCACTTAAGCAACACCCATCGACCTGAGGCTTAGCAAGCAGGCTTGCTAACTCTGCTCCCTTAGCTAAGAAAGACATCGCTCCTGATTCATAAGTGGGGAGATGGAAAACATGGGTTTGCCAAACCTGGCAATTGAAATACATCTGGACAAGAGAACCAGCTGAAAGGATGCTGATCCAACAGGTGAGGGCAACTTTCTAGTCTGAGGCCATAGCCTCAGACATTGGGATATGCCTGTGTCTTGCTTAGAGTCCCAACAAAGGGATTGTTGAGACCTGAATGGATGCCGGAGACTTGGGTTTGAGGATGCCCTAGAGGAAGAGATGGGGCAAAAGGTCCTGGGGCCTAGGGAAGTTCTTCAGGGAGTCCCAGACAGGCCATGTCCCTGATCTTGGAGATTATAATGAATGTCTTCCCAAAGAGCATCAAGGCGGGATCTTAGCTCTCCCATGACCTTCCTGTCCCCATTACCCCCAAGCAGCTCTGGATAGAAGGTGTTGCGGGCAGGGGGAGGCGGAGCCAGCTGCTGTTGCAGCTCCTCTGTTTCATGGTCAATGACTTTAGTGAAATCAGCAATCTCCCGGAAGGTATCAAGACGAAAGGCCTCCAGCCGCTGCTGTACCTCCTTGGTCAGCTCCTCGGAGGACAGTGGGGAATCTTGCCCTACCCCTCCCACATTCTTATCCTCCCTGGCCCCAGCATAGGCAGTGAGCCCATCCCGTAGCTGGTCCAAATTGTCCTGGATGCGAGTGTGCAGAGCCTGGGCTTTAAGGGTCAGCTTTTTTGACAGAGCCTGGATGTAGCCACTGAGGCGAGCTGGGCTAGTGGCAGCATGTGGGGCCACATTGCGATGCAGCTCCTGAACATGCTGCCCAATTCCTGTCACCAGCCTCTCAGCGTAGGGGTGGAACAGTGCTTTTACCCTCCCTGTGTGAAGAGCCACTTGGTCCTGAAATTCCTGAAGCAGATCCCGGGCCTCATTCATACCCCCTAGCAATTGGTTCTTGGTGTCCTCCCCAAACATTTTCAGCTGCTCCTGCAGCTCCTGAACCCCTAGGGTCAGTCGCTCCATCAGTTCCACTGTATAGGGTTGGAGCTGCCTCCTTAACCCTTCCAGATTCCAGCCCACACGCTGATGGACCTCCTGGGTGTAAGGGGCCAGCCTGGTCCTCACCTCCTCCAGCTCCTTGTGTAGTTGGTGCTGCAGGTCTCTCGAGTCCAGAAAAGGCAAAGAAGGTTTTGCCCATCCAGCCAAGGGCTCTAGCTTCTCCAAGAAAGTGTCCACCTTACTGTGGTCTTGTTCAATGTTGGCTTTCAGGTTCCTGGGGAGGAGAGATGCAAACATGTACTGCTAGTTTTCTGGGCTTCCCAAACATATATATGTATATATATACATATACCTGACCTCCACCACCTAGGATTGAGTTCATCTATCCCCCCAAGGAGACCATGATATTGAGCAGAAAAGGAAGGTGGCTACAGAATCCATCTGACCCTCATCAGACTCCCCAGCCTGATGTTTTTTGGAGAGCACATATAGACATGGATACATATAAACACATGCCACAACCCTCTGAGCTTGTCCTTTTTCTCTCCTTCTCAACTGTCATAGTTGCTGATGATCTGGTACAGAGAGACTGGTTGTTCAACTCCTTGAACCATGGGGGTCAACATTATGGCACTGGGTGTAGTGGGGAAGGGAAAATTGTGTGGTCAGGGCTTAATAAGATTTCAGCCCCAGAGAACTGAGTCTTTACCACCCGTAATGTGATTGATTCAAGTCTAGGCACTTCGGTAGAGTGGTACAAGAGGGATGACAGAAAACTAGGTCATTCACCAGGCCTGGGTTTGGGGAGTGCAGGAGATTTACTTTGACCTAAGGAGCTGGCTCAAGAGTGGAGAATACAATGGACTGAGAATCAACCATCAGTGGAGAGGTAGGCAAGATGGGAAACAACAATCAGTTATACCATTGGAGGATCGTCAATGTGGCTACCAAGGGCTCCCTTTCCTCCTCCCCCTCCTCCGCCATCTGACCCTAACTTCTTGGAGCTCCTAGTCCTGGTCACTCACAGGAACTCTTTGCTGAGCTTCTGCTGCTCCATCTGTTCTATCCGGCCCTTCTCCTGGCCACTCTGGCTGAAGTATTCCCAGAAGCCTTTGTACTCCTTAGCTGTTGTTGACACTGTGGAGAAATTAGAATTGAGGATGGGTGGGGGAAGAGGGGACACAGCAGGGATTCCTTAACATCATCCATAGAGGTCTACCCTCCCTTGAAGTCCTAGGAAGGAGAGAGTTTCTGGGGCAGGAAGAGAAAGAAGAGAAAGAAGCCACATTCATAAAATCATAAAATTTTATGCTGGAAAGGAACTTAGAGGGCTAGTCCACCCCTCTCATTTTACAGAGAAGGAAACTGAGATTTAGATGAGGGGAAGTGATATGCCCAAGGTCATAGAGCTAATAAGTGGCAGAGTCAGGATCTGAAACTAGATCTCCTGATCTTCCACCAGTGTGGAACTGTTCCTGGAGTCTAGGCCTAGGAGTCAAAAACTCTCACTTGAGCTCTCTTCTTGTATCCAAACAGCTACATATTGAATGACTTGATTCAATTTAATTCAGTTCAGGTGTCTACCATGTTCAGGAGCTAGAGATTCAAAAACACGGCCCCCACCCTCAAGGAGCATATAGTCTAGTAGGGGAAATAAAACACACACACACACACACACACAACTTGTGTGAGGCACACAACAGTGAGGATTATTACAAAGCACAGGGAGAGGTTCATTACATTAACAAAGCCTAAATCCAAACTACCAGGGATTAAACCAAGCTGGATAGTTAGCTGAATTGGGATCCGTGGAAGCTCCAAACTGAAGCTCTGATTTTGAGTTTTTAGATCTTGCCCCTCAGCCTAGACTCCAGGACCCTTGGGTATAGAACTAGTCATACATAATCAATCAATCAATCAACATTTATTAGACCCCTGCTTCACGTCAGGCACTGTGCTAAGTGCCGGGGATACAAAAAGAGGCAAAAGATGGTCCCTGTCCTCAAGGAGCTTGCAACCTTGTGTATCAACCACCCAATAAGCATTTATTAAGACTCCCTATGGATGAGGCACTATGCTAAACCTAGAGGATAAAAAGAAAGAAGTGAAAGAGTCCTTGCTCTCAAGGAACTTACATTCTAATAGGACAGACACACGAGAATATACAGAATATATATACAAAGTTAATACAAGGTAATTTGGAGAGGGGGTGCCCTAGCAGCTGGGGGGCAGGGAGCAGAGGAGGAAAGGAGGCACTTGAGCCTAGTACCCCAAATGTACTTCACCCCATCATTGTCATCAGAGAAAGTAGCACCCACCTGAGAGGAGGGCCAGAACCAAGGCCAAGACTGTTGTTATCACTGCCATGATCCACCCTGAGAAGGAGGAAAAGTAAATGGAGTCAGAAAGTGGGAGAGGGAACTAAGAATCATTGAATTCCCAAGCAGAAAGGGACCTTCAAGATCACCTAGCCCTAAAGCTTTTCCACAGAGCTCCTTGTAACCCTTTCCAGGAGCACAGGACATGGAGTTTCCTCTTAATTCCTGGGAGGAGAACATCATGGACAGATGATGGAAAGGAAGAGGGTTTTTTCCCAGAGATGAACATGTCCCTATGTCTTACCAACACAAAAAAGATTAACTTTGTAAAATGTCCTACCATAGGCAGGAGCACCAAGAAAAGAAATAGGTCTAGATGAAAAGCTGGGCCTCTACTTGTGCCATTTACTCATCTATCCTCTCACCCAGCCTCCCATTTCACAGATGGAGAAGCTGAGGCATGAGGAAAGGGAAGAAAGTACTTGGGGCCCAATTTCCTGGTTCTTGCCCCCATTTCTTTACCATAACCATCTGCCTTGATCATTCTCCCCTAAGATGCTGGAACACCAACCTTTCCTCTCACCTGCCCAGAATACCAGTTCTGGGCATGAGGAGCAAGCATTCAGCTTTATATCCCACTGACCTGTACCTTTGGCAACAGCTACTTCAAGCAAACACCACGTGGAGGTCTAAAGAAGAATGACCTCAACTACTGTCCAGCACTCACCTGCCACCCATGCAAGGTGCCCAGAGATGAACTGATGCTTGTTCTGTAGCCCATTTCCATAGCCCTGGCTTCTCTGAGGTTACTTGGCACCAACCCTTATTCTCTCTGGGGTGTCTGTCCTAGGGAAAAGACACATCATGGAACTTTCCACTCAGGGCAAGGACTCCCTACCTAGTTTTTCTAAATCCTAGGACCTTTAACCTGCCCTAATAACATCCTACTCAGCATACATGCTGTACCCAGGCCCTAGTCTTACTCAACAGACTAAGTCAATGTGTCCATAGAACAAACAAGTGACAAATTATCCCCATGCTACTCCCAAACCCCAGTAAACATGGCAAGGAAGGCCAAGAATATATAGTCCTCCTTTCTCCTTTATGAAATGATCCCAGAACAAGCATGAGAAGCCAAGAGCCAGGTGACAGCTTTTCTAATGAGAAGATAGTTCAGCATTTGAGATGGGAATTTTAACTCTAAGGAGCTGGAGCAGAAGCAAAATCCAAGCCCTTCCCCCCCAAAATGAAAGCCAAACTCTACCCACAGATCATCTAAGGGGAAGACAACCTGGCCAGGGACCATCCAACCCCATCCTCCTAGCCCCAAAGAGACCTTAGATTTATATAAGGATGGGTATCTTCTCCCTCCTCTGCCTTAACTCCTTACCCCGGCCTTTCCCTACCTAAACTTGACTGAAGTGGGAATCTGACAATCAAAAAGGTTTAGTCACCTGCTTAAAGTGACAAGAGAAGGAGAGGCAGCTAGGTGGTGAGGTGGATAGAGTAATAGGTTTGGAGGCAGAAAGACTTGAATTCAAATCTAGCTTCAGACCCTTACTAGCTGTGTGACCCCAGCCAAGTCACTTAACCCTGCTTGCCTCAGTTTTCTTGTCTATACAATGAACTGAAGAAGGAAATGGCAAACCATTTGCCCAGAAAATCCCAAATGATGGGGTCATGAAGAGTCAGACATGACTGAAAATGATTGAATGTGTTTGGTTTTAAGCCAAGATCTATCTCTGGGTTATCTCAGACCAGGTCCCTGGGGGAAAAGAAATATATCAAAGACATTTGAGAAAGAGACAAAGGGCAGTTATAAAGCAAAAGAAATGTAGGTACTTCTATAAATTGAGCACCACAAAGAGTAAGAAGGCAGCACTACAAAGGAGAGAATCTGAGCTTCTAAGCCAGAAGACTAATTCTAGGAGAATTAATAGTAAATCTAAATCATAGCCCTGCCTGTCAGCAGCTATGCGATCTTGGTAAATCACTTCACCTGTCAGTTCTCCAGACCATCCAGTTTGGTTTAATTCCAGTGTCAGTCTGAACTGGGGAACTCCCGGCACTTGGAATTGAACTCGTCTTGCTGGGCCTTGTATTGTAGTTCTTTGTGTCTTATGTCTCTAGACTATGAGCTCTTTAATGACAGAGACCACATCTTTGTGGTCTAGCAGCTAACACAAGGCCTTGAATAGCATAGGTACTTGAATTGAATTGAGTCATTCACTGTGTAGTTGGCAGGAATCAAGAAGGGAGCCCAGGACTGAGTTGTTGGCTTCTTGACCTGGAAAGGATGCTAGTCTGGGGGTCAAAAGATCTGGCTTCAAATCCTGGATCTTCCCAATGACCCTGAACTGTGTGAATCTGACCCCAGGAGCAGAGTAAGGGCTATGTTGTAGTCTCCAGCCCAGTTTGAAGCCTATAGTAGAATAACCAGGACAGGAATCTCTGACCCTTCTCAGGAGTCTACAGAGCCTGTAGATCTGTCACTACAGAGCTTCATCTGGCTGATAGTAGCTGAGTCTAGCAGTAGTCTACTGGAACTCCCACTCAGGGACAAGCCCACAGTCAGGTTGCTCAGACCCAAACTCAGGTCAGGAACTTGCTGAGTTCAGACCAAAAGGGCGCTGAGCCCTAATTCAGATCACTTTGAGAGCGATGAAAGTTTGCAGGTCCTTAGTCTGAACTATCCCTAAGATCCTGGAATAGCATAACACTCAATACCCCAGGAAAGTAGCAGAAGGACCCAAAAGGACAAAAAGCTCAGCCCAGACATTCTTCACAGAAGTGAACAGAGCCTGGCCCTAACATGAATGCCAAAGTCAAGAAGCAGGTTGGAATAATGAGCAAATAAAAATGAATCACGCTATAACAAGATATTATGGTGACAGGGAAGCTCAAAACACAAACCCAAAAGAAGAGCATAACTCTAAGACATCTACAAACAAAACCCCAAAGAAAAATGCAGCATTGGCACAAGTCCAACAAGAATTCCTGGAAGAAATAAAGCAAGAATTTTGAAAAGAACTAGAGTTATTTTTAAGAAGAAATGACAGTGCTAGGGGAAAAAATAGGAAAATAAGTGAGAGGTACAAAGCCATACTCAAGAAAAAACTCCCTGAAAATCAGAATTAACCAAATGGAAGCTAACAACTCCATGAAATACCAATAAATATTAAAACAGTTCAAAAGGATAAAAGAATAGAAGGAAATGTAATGTATCCCATAGCAAATACAGCTCACTTGGAAAACAGATCAAACAGAGATAATCTAAGAATCACTGGACAACCTGAAAGCTGTGACCAAAAAAAAGGACCTACACATCATATTTCTTGTTAATAAATTTATTTATTTTTAGTTTTCAACATTCACTTCCACAAGATTTTGAGTTCCAAATTTTCACCCCATCTTGCCCCTCCCCCACCCCAAGATGGCATGCATTTTGAATACCCCTTCCCCTAGTCTGCCTTCCCTTCTATCTCTCCCCCTCTTCTCTTATCCCCTTCCCCCTATTTCCTGTATGGCAGGATAGATTTCTGTACCCCATTTCCTATATTTCTTATTTCCCAGTTGCATGTGAAAACATTTTTTTTAAACATGTGTTTTTACAACTTTGGGTTCCAAATTTTCTCCTTTCCTCACTCCCCACCCACCCTCATTGAAAAGGCAAGCAGCTCAATATAGGTTACACATGTGCAGTTATGCAAAACACTTCCATAGTAGATATGTTGTGAAAAACTAATTCTATTTCCCTTAATGCTATCCCACCCTCCCCATTTATTCTATTCTTTCTTTTGACCCTGTCCCTCCTCAGAAGTATTTGCTTCTGGTTACCCCCTTTCCCAATCTGCCCTCCTCTCTATTATCCCCCTACTCTCTTGTCCCCTTCCCCCCCCCATTTTCCTGTAGGGTAAGACAGATTTCCATAACCACTTGTTATTCCCTCCTTAAGTCAAATCCTATGAGAATAAGATTCACTCATTCCCTCTCACCTTCCCCTGTTTCCCCTCCACTGTGAGAGCCTTTTCTTTTCTGTTTTTTGTGAGATAATTTACCCTGTTCTACCTCTCCTTTTCTCCTTCTCCTAGTATAATCCTCTCTCACCCCTTAATTTTATTTTCCAGATATGACCCCTTCATCTTCAACTCACCCTGTGCCCTCTATCTATCTATCTATCTATCTATCTATCTATCTACATATATATACAAACATATAATTCTTTCCCTCCAACTACCCTAATACTGACAAAGGTCTCATGAATTACAAATATCATCTTTCCATGTAGAAATGTAAATAGTTGAACCTTAATAATTCTCTTATGATTTCTCTTTCCTGTTTACCTCTTCATATTTCACTTGAGTCTTGTATTTGAAAGTCAAATTTTCTATTCAGCTCTGGTCTTTTCTTCAAGAATGCTTAAAAGTCCTCTGTTTCACTGAATGACCATTTTTTTCCCTGAAGGATTATACTCAGTTTTGCTGGGTAGGTGATTCTTGGTTGTAATCCTATCTCCTTTGTCTTCCGGAATATTATATTCCATGCCCTGCAGTCCCTTAATGTAGAAGCTGCTAAATCTTGTGTTATCCTGATTGTGTTTCCACAATATTTGAATTGTTTCTTTCTGGCTGCTTGTAATATTTTCTCCTTGACCTGGGAACTCTGGAATTTGGCTACAATATTCCTAGGAGTTTTCCTTTGGGGATCTCTTTCAGGTGGTGATTGGTGGATTCTTTCAATTTCTATTTTGCCCTCTGGTTCTAAAATATCAGGGCAGTTTTCCTTGATATTTTCTTGAAAGATGATGTCTAGGCTCTTTTTTTGATCATGGCTTTCAGATAGTCCAATAATTTTTAAATTCTCTCTACTGGATCTATTTTCCAGGTCAGTTGTTTTTCCAATGAGAAATTTCACATTGTTTTCTAATTTTTCATTCTTTTGGATTTGTTTTACAGTGTCTTGATTTCTCATAAAGTCACTAACTTTCAATTGCTCTATTCTAATTTTTAAGGAAGTATTTTCTTCAGTAATCTTTTGGACTTCCTTTGCCATTTGGCCAGTTTTGCTTTTTAGGGCATTCTTCTCCTCATTGGTTTTTTGGACCTCTTTTGCCATTTGGGTTAGGCTTTTTTTTAAGGTGTTATTTTCTTCAGTATTTCTTTGGGCCTCCTTTAGCAAGCTGTTGACTTGTTTTTCATGATTTTCTTGCATCACTCTCATTTCTCTTCCCAGTTTTTCCTCTACTTCTCTTACTTGCTTCTCAAAATCCCTTTTGAGCTCTTCCAAGGCCTGAGACTGATTCATATTTTTCTTGGAGGCTTTGGATGTAGGAGCTTTGACTTTGTTGTCTTCTTCTGGTTGTATGTTTTGATCTTGTTTGTCACCAAAGTAAGATAATATAATCTGACTCTTTTTGCGCTGCTTACTCATGATCCCAGCCAGTTACTTGAGTTTTAAACTCTTTGTTAAGGTAAGAGTCTGCTTCCAATGTGGAGAACATATTGTCCCAAGCTTTGGGGGTTTGTACAGCTGTTTTCAGAGATACTTCTAGGGACCTGTAAATTTTCAGTTCTTCCAAAGTGGTATGATAAGGGGCAAGGTGTTTCCTCTCCACCACCACAACAAAATCCACCACGCCAGCGCTCCTTCTCGCCCCAGGATCACCCCTCAGAACTGTGACCCACATCCAAGCATGGGCAAAGCAAGAGATTCCTGCCTCTGCACTGGCAAAGAGATCCCTGCAATCCCGCTCTTATCAGCCACTCAAATCCCCCTCAGTCTGTGGGCCAGAAGCTCAGGAAACAGCCGCGGCCCGCGCTCAGGACTTGCAGTGAAACCTA